ATTTATTTATTTATTTATTTATTTATTTATTGTCTTTTTTGAGACAGGGTCTCCCTGTAGCCCCAGCTGTCCTGGAACTTACTATGTGGACCAGGCTGGCCTTGAACTCACAAAGATATGTCCTGGAACTTACTATGTGGACCAGGCTGGCCTTGAACTCACAAAGATACGCCTGCCTCTGCCTCTCAAGTGCTGGGATTAAAGGCGTGCACCACCACGCCTGGCTATCTACAACAATTCTTAAGCAACCCTAATATAAATATTAAATGTTTATTTTTGTGACAGGATATTACTATATATACTTGTAGCTAGCCTGCAACTTCATATATAAACCAAATAGACCTTAAACTTCAGGCAATCCCCCTGCCAGTCTGGAATTACGGGTATGGACCACAAACTCAGGTCTGTATTTGACCATATCCCTAATTTTATAGATGGTGAAACTGAGGCCCTGAACAGCTAATCAGCATATTACAGGCTGGGAGTAGAGCTCAGGCGCTGAACACTTGTATAGCCATGTGTAAGCATGTACAAGGCCTTGGGCTTCATCTCCACGTAAGCACCCCAAAAGCCATAATCAAGAGGTGAAGGCTAGCTAAAATGCTAGTACATGGCCTTAATTCCAACATTTGGGAGGTGGAGGCAGAGGTAGGTGGATCTGAGTATAGCTTGGTATACACAGTAAGTTCCAGGTCAGCCAGGACTATACAGTATGACTGTCTTAAAAAAAAAAACGTTGAAGTCTAGTCCATGATACATGAGACCCCATGAGACCCCATTTTGAGCAAAATGTTTAAGGAGGAAAAGACTAGGTAGACAAAAATTAGCATCTAGAAGCTGGGCCTATAATTCCAGTTACTTGGGTAACGAAGCCAAGGGGTTACAAGGCCTACTTCCACCAGTCTGAGCAGCTTATAAAACCCTGCATCAAGTGAAAAATAGAGGGGACATGCCGTTGAATTGGCCTGGAGATGCAGGATGGCTAAGAAAACTTACTTACATAGTCATCATAAAGCCCTGTACAGGAAAAAAAAAAAGTGAAAAGTAAAAAGTTGGTAGATAACGCCAAACACAATTCTCTTTCCTGATCTCAGTTTGGCTTCTGGCAGTTCACTGTTGACATTTCCTGGATAATATGGCCCCCTATCATAATAAGCCAACTACTTTATCCACTGTATCCATTAGAGGGAGGATAAACCTGCTGTTCTTCCCAGGTAGAGGTGGTACCTTTATAAAGGGATTTTTTTCAGTCAACAGAGCTGACAAGCTGCCACACTGCCACATCAACAGTAACTAGTGTTCCAGGTCTCTACTATATGTAGACCTAGCACAGTACAGAATATTTAACTCCCACTCCATTCAAGGTAGCTCCCTTTATCAACCTGCTTACAATAGACAGGGAGGAGTTAATTAATTAGGACATGAGCAAAGTGGCAATACCAAGTCTCATGCCTAGGCAGTCTAGGGCACGTGCATAACCTGTGCCCAGAGACAACCTGTCAAGGCTATGAACAATGCACCAGCCATGCCCCTG